TGTGGTATGCTGATTACCTGACTAGTAGTGAGAGTGCGCTTCTGGGTCCATGTTCAGCTTGGTATCTGCAGTAACATCCAGGTCATTTTTAGAGAAACTGCAATTCAGATGTTCATGGCTTGCACAAGTGTGTGCAGCTCCTCCATCTGAGATGCAGACTTCCAACTGATCTTTATGAGGCTTCTGCCAGCCAAGTCCTCAAGTATATCAAGGGCCCTTTACAATACAGCTCTTCCATTTGTCATGTTAACCACTCCCTCTTAATTTATTATCCTGTTGAAATTTGCTGAGGATGCACTGTGTGTCATGATCTAGGTCATTGATGAAGATATTCACTGACGCCCTAGGTATCCTGAGCTCCTCTGCTCATCACTGACCACTCGACTCATGCCAAGTGATGATCATCAGCCTTTGAGCCTGCTGGTTAAGTCAGTTCCCAACTCAGGGCCTTCTTTTAGTGCTATCTTCCTCAGCTTTCAAAGTGTGATGTAGGAGACAGGGTTAAAAGTCTTACCAACATCATTGTGTGCAAATGAGCATAGCCATGCTGGGAGAAGGCTAACTAGCAAGGTAATACAGCACACATTCCAGGAGAAACCCAAAAGGCTATCCACAAGGTTTCCAAACCACTACAAACCATATTTCCTTTCTGATTAGCTGTACATGTTCATCCAACACTTCCTGATGTTTGGATGAGAGGCTGTTGGAAGCGTTTTAAAGGGTGCTCCCCGTGTTACAGCTTTTCCTGCCCACAGAAGAGGTGTGAGAAATACCTTTGCAGCCACTCCCCATGACAACTAGTGGAGAAAAGGAATTACCATGCCCCACAGCAGATCCCAGATGCACATTAGTGGGAGTTATGACACAGGTCAGGCATGACTTTGCAGTCAGCTGTGTTTTCCCTCAGCAGAGAGGCATTCCTGCTCAAGGGAGCACCTGTGCTGTGGCACTGCTTGGTGAAGGGCAGCCACTCCTCTTCCCTCATCCAAGCAGTTAAAAATTTCATCAGGAAAGTCAACAAGTCTGGACAAGCACACAAACTGCTTTTAGTCAATCTGTGCTGACTATTCCAATTACCTTCTGGGCCCTTAAGTGCCTGGCAAACGTGTTGTTAAGTATTTCAGCTTTTTCTACATTATCTGTCACTACATCGACTTCTCTCCTATTCATCACCTTTTCCCTTCCTCAAGTTTTACCTTAATTTCTAAAGTAGCACACATCTGCAGAATCACTTTTGTTTTCCTTTATGACCCTTGAGGGTAAGTCTTAGCTCAAATCAATCAGCCTTCTAATTTTGTCACTAAGCAGTCAAGCAATGCTTGTCTATATTTTGCATTTCAGGCCACCAGAAAGCTCTTTGCTCAGCCATGAAAACCTTCTGCTGAGCCCCCCTCCTTTCTGCTCAACAAGATGGTTCCTTCCTGAGCTCTCAGTAAGTTTTATTTAGAAACCATCCATCTTTCATGGGCCCTATGTTTCTGTGGCAGCATCCCAAGAGATTTTGCTAAGCAACTCTCCAAAAAGGCTGAAGTCTGCTCTTCTGAAATCTCAAGTCATAACTTGCTGACTATCTTTCCAGACTACCTTTGAATCAAGAACTAAGCCAGCTCATGGTCACTCTGACCCCAGCAGTTATTTATCACCACCTTTGCCACAAATCCTGTTTCTTCCCTCTAGCAGTATCAGGGACTGATCAGGAACACAATCAATGAATCCCCTGCACTGACTGCACAACAATTTAATCTTACTAAAAACTAAAAAAAGCAGCGTCTTGCCATATGAACTGGTAGAATTATTTGACATACATTTTTTATCTGGTTTTGATCTCCCATTCTACTAACGTGAACTTCTGTTATTTTATTTCATTTATCAGGTGATAATTGCTGTAAAAAATACAGGAAGCCAAAGTGTCCATTCTAAAGGAATTTAACATAAATGCAGAAAAATTAAGAAGTAAAATATGCCCATCAATGATTGTATTTTGTACCAACAATACACACAGCTTAAAAACATTCAGTAATTAAGAGACAACATTCAGCTTCATTAAAATTTATGGCTGAAGATGATTTGCTATTTTTCTATCCCTTAGGCCATTTTTTATATAGACTGAATTTTTTTCAGGCAGAGATTCAACATCAGCCCAAAAGATACAAATTTGTATCAACTGAAACACTTATTTTTGTTAGTAAAAATAGATATATTTAGGTAAAAAAACCCAAAAAACCCTTAGAACTGGAATGAACAACAACAACAAAAAATACAAAACCAAAAAGCAGGAGGAAATGGGAAGAATGAGTTGAATGTTCAGTCATGTAGGCTTTACTGATAAATTCATTATCACAAGCAAGTTAAAGGAAAGCTTGTCATCTGCCTCACTCAAATCACTTGTACAGAGAATTCCAAAATTGCAAAAGCCTTTTTTAGTGGAGAAGTTACTATTCCAAATATATTTAGCTGGCACAAATGAAAATCTGCTCCAAGTGTTGCAAGACTGCATGGGTAATAAATTTCCTTATGTGAGCACAATGTAAATTAGCCCTGTAAACCTATTACAGCAAGAACCAGGTAGTTTTAATGGACAGCACTGCAGTACCTGGCAAACATCTTAATTATAAAACATTATGTGAGAAAATCTAATTGTAAATGCTGCAATCAAGGCATCTATAGGTTTTACTAAAGTTATCAATATGATAATTGAATACCCTAAAGATTTTCTGAATTGGTCAGCAACAAAGTCTTCCCAAACATCTTATTTTAATGGCAGATCCATCAGCAATCCTATGGCATTGAACAGAAAGAGTGCATTCACTATTCTGAGTTTATAGCTGTGAGAATTAACTGCTGCATTTCACTAGTCCCACTTGAATCAATAGGTAATAATTAGACACATGAACATTATAAAAAAAAAAAAAAATCTCAGCAGCATTTAAGGGTTAAATGGTTTGGTTTTTAAGGTCAGAGCTTCTTAGTCACTGTAGTCAGAGAAGAAAACTGGTCTTTGGTTCTTGCTTGGGTGTCTCTCAAATGTATGTGCGTGTCCAGTGAGGAAATGCAATGGCAAGAGTCATTTGTCTTATGACTATGTTTGTTTTCTCTTTGTGCATTTGTTTCCTGATGTAGCATATTGACTATTTTCACTAATAAAATGAAGCTCAAATAGCCTCCTCCTTTTCAATAGGTCAGAATTAACACTTGCTCAGAAATATGAGATTTCCATCTGCTTTGTGCTGTGGCATTCAGAGCCTGCTCCTGTCACTTGACACCCTTACTCCTGCTGGTGCCACACGCCTGTCACAGATCATGCTCCTAGAGTCAGCAGCTCCTGTCGATAGTGCCAGTGCCACAGCTAGATTTTAGATATCAGCCCTTGATTAGGCAACACATTAATTTGGAAATCTAGACAGGAAAAAGAACACAGGAGTGAAGTATTTCACACAATAAAAATAACTTCTCTGGGCATTCATTTTTTTCCCTCCAAATAATATAAAGTGGACACTGGTGTGAATACCTCAGAGAAGAAACAGACTGCCAGTATTTCATTTTTCTCTCAGGAGCTAAACCACCACAACTAACTTGCTTAAAAACATTCTAAAAATATCAGCATAAAAATGCATCTTTCTTCCTAAGGAAAAAAAAAAAAAAAGGTCAGAAGAATATCCTAATTAATTTCAATTCATATTCTGCATGGTTCTTTGCAGGCTTTCTACTAGATATCTGCTAAACTACTGGGCTAAGAGTGTCACTGCTTTCCCTTCTGTAACTATTTCTTCTTTACTTTTTTTTAGAGGTAACTAGAATGTTAAAATCAGCTACATGAACACAAAGAAACAGGACTAGCAATACTTCTTTGTCACCTTACAAACCTTCTGTTTAAATGATCTTTTCATTGCCAGGACAGCTTATCTCTTTTTTAGAATTAATCCCTTCACTTTCTGTGACTTCATTATGTCCTTAGCTATTATTTACTTTTAAGGGTGCAATTTTTTTGCTGTTTTTAAACTTTTCTAACTCTTTCTTGGCAATAGTTGTGCTGACATCTCACTATAGAAGAGAATTCAGCCCTACAAGCTAATTTACAAAGCCTTCATCACTGCAACACAGATATTTTAATATTGGAATTCTCCCTATACAGGGGAATTTGAGAAATTATGAGATCATTATTAGATCAGGTAAAAACACTGGTGCAGATTTAATGAACTCAATGTTTTAGCTATTAATTAAAAATGTAACTTCTTGGAACCATTCAGAGAAAGTCCATTCTAACTGAATGTCTCGTAAGTTGAAGGGAATCCATTTCAGCTTTGCATTCTCAATCAAAACAAAAGATAAACTCTTTTAACCAAGACAGGGAAGAAAGGTGTGGTTTTCCACACATTTACGTCCTGATTAAGCACTGTATCATGATTTAGTTACTCTGAATCTGTCTGATCCAACAAGTTAAGCTGCTTGAGATAGTAATCACATGCAACAAGAAAAATGAAATGCAAATTAGTGGGTTATGAAGCTGATGAATACGTAAGTGGATGAGATTCTTTCACTTGTAAGACACAGCAAGTCAGGTTAGAGGATCAGAACAGCCCCCTCCTAGCCCCCGAAAAAATAATTTCTCATTTTCTGTGGCATTAGACATTATAATGAGAGCTCATTTTCCACACTGAACAACTTCTGCCTTCTAGGTGAATGGTAGCGCTCTTCAAACAAAAAGATAAATACACACTGTCTCATCAGTGACATTCAGTGTTCATCTAAAACAAGGCATAAAAGAATCCTCCCAGCCTTTACCTATGTGTCTCTTCTACCTTGAAATTAACTACACAGATACAATTCTGCTACTGTACTTCCACATAGTAGTCACAGTTCTTTGGGGATTATTTAAAAAAAAAAAAAAAAGGCTGAATAGAAAGGTACAGTACACTGCATTCTGTTTGAGATGCACTGAGTGCTTAACTTATGTCCTTTACATCTGCATGAAAGGCAACAAATAAAGAGAAGTATCTGACCTGGTGTAGTCGTCCTCCACAAGCATGTGCTTTGGAATGGGTGAGTATCTTCCTGGTGAGATAGGGGCCAGGGATGCCTTGTACTCTAAAGTGCCATTGTTTCCAGAAGACAGTATATGATTTTCCATTGGTGGAGAATAAGCTGATGGTTAAAAATGAACATTTCTAGTCAGCAACTTTCATGTATCATTAGATGTCACAAGAACATAATTTTTTTTAAGTACCAAGAATATGTTCAATGCTGTAAATACAATCAAAACAAATAATCCTAGCTTGAGAGAGCTTAAAATATAACAAGAAAGAATTAACAGCTTGAGTTTCCCTGAAAATAATAATAATAATAATAATAATAATAATAATAATAATAATAATAATAATAATAACAGAAATGCTGGGTTATTTGCAGGGATTCACTCTTTAGAGGATCTTTAGTTCCTGAAGAGGAAGCCTGAATAGGTCTCCTGTTTGGGAGACAGGAAACTTTCTTCACTTAGGACTAACTTGCAGAAGGAAATGCAATTAGGAAAGGATGAGATTAAAAGCACTCTTTTTGGCTCCAGTGCAGTAACGGGAGTAACATACTAAGAACTCAATGCAGGATAAGAGCAGGAATTTTATGTGTGGCAAGAATTATGTACATTACACATTCAAATTGCACATTCAAAGCTGTGATCTACTAGAAGTGCCCAAAACCGCAATATGATCAAAATTTCAGTATCAACATAGATGGTATTTAGACCACAGTAAATCTGTATACTTGAAATAGAAAAGGGATGCAAATCCCTTACATATTAATGATTAAAGTTACAGTACTGTGTTGTCTGTTTATATACTGGGTTTGCAGGTTTTGTTGTTTGCGTGCTTTTTGCTATTCTGAAGTTATCTGGGACATTTATGACTGGAGAGATGTAGTAATAGTTGTACTCAATCTCTACTTAATTGAATTAGAAAAAGAAATAAATAGAAAAAACAATGTTACATGCTTCTGAAATGATCTGTGATTAATTTTATCATGAGAAGAAGACAGCTAAACTTACTAGTATTACTTTCAGTCTTTTTTTCAGATCCTGAGATACAGAATGCTTCAAAGCAAAATCTCTCTACAGGGAAAGGCCATTATGCATTCTGAAATACTCTGAACATGTAGGTATAATGAAAGGTTCCCTGAGGATAAATGAATCTCTATGCACCAACAGCTTGGGAAGGGCTACTGCAAATCTTTTCAACCTTTACTCTCCCACTGGAATTGTTTCTGTCTTCTCATATGCTGCTGATCTATAATGTGACATAATAAACCACACTGTTTTAGAACTGCAAAATCATTATTTTGAAAGTATTATAAAGCTGGAGATTGGATAGGGATATTTAACATTTTTACTTCCTGGGCTTTGCTAAGATCCAGACCAGGCTGCTACTGAACAACATGATTGCCATCTGTCGTAACATTTGCCAACTAAACAGGCATCCTCAGCACGGCTGAGCATACCACTGACATGCATGCTACAAAAGCTTCCCTTCTGTTTTCACGAAGAAGACTGAATTAGGAGGATTTGGGATATTTAGCTTTTCCCGCAACTCTGTCAGTCCACAATAGCAACACTGCAAAAGTGCAGAAAAATTTAAATCCTTAGCATTTACCACCCTCTGTAAGTATCCCCCCCTTAGTTTACTTTAAGTGCCCACAGAATTATTAGCAGGAAATCAAGATGGGTATGAATCGACTGCTGAAGTTCTTGTCAAAAATTGTATTCCCACCCAGTTGTTAGATGGTGCAGCTGGTTCCTGTTGGGGATCAAGGCAGACAAGTTTTTAATGAACAGCTAATGAAGAAGGGAGTTTTCAGCAATGAACTCTTTAGAGTAATGGGCACCAGTGGTACAGAGAGTGCAGCTGAAATGTTAAGATTGCTGTGAATGACAAGGGAATGGAAATGCTTGGGTATGGACACCAGGAGGACTGGCAGGAGGGTTATAAAATTATGGCATATATCGATAAAGCTAGATTCATCAATAAGTCATCAATAGTCAGTATAATTACATGCAACTTGCCAGGAAAGCCTACACCCAAATTAAAACAAATATTCAAGCCATTAAGAAATAGGGGTGATAAAGACCAGGTTGAAGCCTAGGACACTCAGATCAGGAGACAGCAGTGATGTGAGTAAATCCTAAAGACGTGCATAGTAGGGACAGATGGCAGAGACAGAAGATCCTTACTGCTGTCATCTCCTTAAGAATATAAAAAGCATTCCAGCAAGGAGGTTGTCAACATAAAATCTATATATATATGGCAAGGACTCCACAGCCAGCCACCAACCCTTGTACATGGTCACCTCAGGGAGTCCTGGGGATGCACCTGGATGCACATCTTTCTACCTGAGTGCTGGACACGAGCCTAGTTGTTTTTGAGTGCATGGATATGACAGGCTGATTGAAATCACTTTGCTTTAAAATGAGGACATCTTCTCTTCCTATGGGATACTTCACTGAGTTTTACCATATTATTTAAACAAATTTTACTACAACAGAGTGTACATTGAATGCAAGGACAAATAAGGCCTTGGTCCTCTGATAAAAAAAAAAAAAGCCAGATGAACATATATAAAGTTGATGGATAAACTGAGAATAATGTGAAGTGGACCAATGATTTATGAATTCTTCACTATGAGAGTAATGAAGCACTGGAACAGAGAAGCCATGGATATGCCATCCCTGGAAGTGCTTAAGGCCAGGCTGATGTGGCTCTGAAGAACACCCTGGTTTAGTGGAAGGTATCCCTGTCCATGGCAGGCGGACTTTTTAGATGGTCTTTGAGGTACCTTTCAACCCAAACAGCTCTGTAACTTCATGAATTATTGAATAATAATAATAATTATTGAATAATCATTGAATATCCACAGAAAAAAAGTAAAGTTTTGTAAGTAGAGCAGTGATTTTTACATTCCAGTAAAATATTTTATTCATATATGAGATATATTTGCCTCAGGCTTCTACTTCATTTGTACAAGATGGTTTGCTGCTTGTTCCAATTTTTCAGCGGTCAGAGTACTCCAGGCTACAAATCTAATCATATTTCAAAATGCAATTGCATATACTTATTGCTGCAATCTTCACAAGAGGTATACAGTTCAGTCTGATCACCTGGACAATGGCTAATTGGAACCAGCACAGCCATAAATCTTTTACATTGCTACTTTTGCAATTATTTACTTTAAATTATTTGTTTTATTAATTTTGAAATTATTATTTGCAATATTTATTGAGTGCAGCATACTTGGGTGGCAATAAACATTTCATTTTTGTAACCTTCCAAGCTGTTTCATAAACAATGGGGTACTTTGAACAAGCTATGAAAAAATACAATCATAAGACAAACTCAAATATCTCTTGTAAAGGAAGTCACAGAAGTCACTTACAGTGAGTAATATCTGGTGGGCCATATGGATCTGTCATGTAAATGGTGGTGGGCTTTCCAACTTTCAGATACACTACATCTGATGTGTTCTTCAGTATCGCTACTGCCTCTTCATGGGTAACTTCTTCCAAACTGTAATTATTTACCTTAGAGGAGAAATCAGAAAGGTGAGTAGAAATGCAGAAATAGACACAAAGATGAAACAGCCTTGAAGTTTTCAAAATATCTGGAACGTTGCTGTAAACGAAGAGCATTAAAGTTTATATAGAAGCAATACTGCTGCAGGGCAGAAAACACTGTTTTCTTAGCACATGAATATTCAAAGACTGATGTAGCAATATTGATACACAGAATCAAAATGAGTCAAGAAGGCTTGTTTTTGCCATTAGAAAAGTCCTTTATGATGTTCTGCTACTTCTATAATCACCAATATAAAACTGTATTTAATTATAAGTTAATAGCACCATATCGGTTACAGAAACTGTCTACATTATTTGACCTAACAAAATAAACTTCTTAATTCATCTCTCAGCCTCCACAGCTGGGACCTCAGAAATACTCAACTCACCCAAATCTTTCCATCACTGATACAACATTGACCCTTGAAATAAGGAGAGGTAAAAAATGGCATATAGAATACCTAGAAGGTGCAGGAATTGAAAAAAAGGCAGTTCAGGATGGGGAAAAGGTGTTTTTCATTGTGAAAGTTTGTCTGTTTTGTAGAAGCACATGAAAAAGACATTGAAAAAGTAAGATAATGTAGTACTAGTTCTATGCTTTTTTTAGAAAAGAAAAACACTTAAGCAAGGATTAGAGTAGAAGACTACAGATAAACTAGGGAGGGAAATGGTGGCAATAAGCTTTGCCTATTTATGCTTTACTCCCACAGAAAGAAAATCAAAAGAAAAATATCAGAAGTGGCTTATTGTAGAGGCACATGAAATTTATTCACATATAAATCCTCTGTATTCACAGAATGTCAATAATAGGTTTTCCTCCTATAAACAGAACCATAAATGTTCCCTGCCACAAAAATGTATAAACCTCCTGGAGGTAGAAATTATAGGATAGGGGAAAAAAGTAAAGGGTGTAGATCCAGGTTTCAGGCATGTGGCACAAGACAAGAGAAATAACAGAACCACAGAACACCTTGAGTTGGAAAGGACCCATCAGGATCATTGATTCCAACTCCCTGCTCCTCGCAGCGAATGAAACATCCACTCCTTGAATTCTGGCAGGCTTGGTGCTCTGACCACATCCCTGAGAAGCCTGTTCCAATGACCTACATTTCACAGTGAATGTTGCAAATGAAACATTTTGCTGTCATTTAAATTGCCATACTGCAACTTCCACAGTTACTGCAAGGATTCCTTTTAAGGATTATACAAGATGGAAGCAGAATTCCCTCCTCACTACAGTATAACATAACAGGAAATAGCAGGGAAAAATATACTCCTTCTAGGGAATTTAGTATCAATAAACTATCAGAAACCTGAATGTGACAATAAGCAACTGCCAAAGGGTTTGGCAACTGGAAAGAAATCCAGCTATTATGAATCACTGGAGAACTCTTCATATCCCGACAATTTCATCAGAACCAAGAAAAAATGATTGCTATTGGACAGTATTGCTGAATGCATAGATTCTGTCTTCCTTTTTTGGTCTTCTTTTTGCCTTGTATAATTCTCAGGCTTGGTTTTAAGGGTAATTAAAAGAGACAATGGCAGGTATATTATGATAATTTGACATGAAGAGTAGTGATAGAGCCTAACACCTTCCTAACAGAAGGGAGCTGCTGACAGGGTATGCTGTATTTTGACAGGTCTTCTATTTAAATAAAAAATCTTATACCTAATTTCTATAAATTCCTATATCTTTCTTTGTTACAAAGAGCAGTAACTTACATATACCTTTAATAAATAAATGTCTTAAATTAATAGGCTGGCAGAAAGAATAAGTGGCTGAAATGATGCCTTTCTTGTTTATATATTTCAAAACTGCCAAACACTTCAGATTCACACATTTTAAAAAGATAACCATAAGGTTATCCTTTACCTCTTCTCCTTCCCACGCTCTGTTCATTGTATCTACCTTCTTGTGTTTCATCCTAAGTTTTTTTTTGAAGTAGAAAAATCTCACATAACCTCACCCACTATACAGCTGCTTTAAAAAAATGTTCTTAGTCAAAAAAAGACACAAAACCAAGCATCTTAGAACTGTCTGGATTTTTTACTTTTCTGTCATTTTAGAAGTGAATAAAAACAATTATGACACAAATTAACTTGCTGCAACTTTTTTTCCAAGGTTGGTTTTTGGTTTTTCTTTTCAGTAAATCTAGCTGATAAAAATCCAGCACAAGATACTTGGATGTCACAGTTGTGCAATAAAAAAGGCAAAAGTCATTTTAGAAAGAGAAAGTAAAGTATGATACACAGAAAACATATTTGATACAGCAGGTCCTGTGTCTTCTCTCTGACAATAATGTTATGGGACAGGTGTTTTACCAACACTGTAAAAATTACTGAAATCCGGAAGAAAAGTTAAGGAGTTCAAGCAATTCCAAACTAAGATTGAATATCTATGCAGTTCAGCATTATGTTTATAAAAGATCCTAGAGCTCATAGCAAAGTTTATGTAAAATCATTTTGTCCTAGATTGTTCAGTTCTCAGTGAACAAAGAAATAAAGAAAGACTCAATGTACATCATGAGAAAACAAACAAAGAAACTTGTTGACTTATTCACAAAAACTAAGATTCTCAGTGATGCCCTAAGGTCTCTTGGAAGTGGGAGCTGTTTGAAAAGGAGATCAGATCACCTTCCTTAGTCATTTGCCAACATCAGCTTAGACTTGCACTTCCAGGTTTCCTTCAGAAGGCAGTCCTTGCTTTGGATCTACAACTCCTATTAATAATCCTATGTGCGTCTATCAAAATATTTTCTACTTTTTAACCATAAAACAATGATAGAAAGTAAAGACATCTGTATGTATTCTGATATACAAAAAACTTGAATATTTAGAAGAATTCTATTGTTCAGCTGCCCCCTAGATATTATTGCAAGATGACTGTAGTATGTAATTTTTTTCATAAGGGAATCTCTGGACATTAAAACATTGTACAGAGATGATAACAATAGGAAATATGATATTGTAGTCGACTTTTATGTTGAGATTTATACCAAGAGAAACTATTTATGGAGCTATTTCTTCCATAAAAGATGTCTATCTTAACGGAATTGTAAGTTCTAAATCTGGCTTTTTCAGTGGTTTGGCCCAATAAATGCATCATAGCAAAGCTTTACTTCCACCTGTAAGGATAACCTTACATATTTTTGCATATAGCTTGCAAAAAAAGGGTTGAGTTAGAGCTAAAGATTGGGAGATGCACACAAAGGAAAAAAATGAAAGTGTATACAGCATGCAATCCTCTGAGAGACTGAATTTTAGTGCAGAAGAGCTGACTTAATTCTGAGTGGGTAGAATGGGTACTGCATGCTAACTTTCTCGATCTAAGAAGCCAATTTAAGTAGCAATTAATTAAGGGGAAAAAAAAAACCCTTAAGGCAAATGCTGAAGAAGATATTTATCTGATTGGTCAGTTTAGTTACAAAGTTTTATATTAGAGACAAAAAATGCTGTGACAGGAGCTAAATGATAAGAGTCAGAAAGAAAAAAGGCATGGAAAAAGTGGGGCTTTTCGAATAGGAAAAATTCCATGCAGTGGAAATTTAAAAATGCAAACAGCATCTCAAGGAAAAAAATAAGAGAACTTTTTCTTTAAATAGAAAGTATGTGATATAAAGCATACTGATAGCATGAGAAACAAATAAGGGAAAGAAATAAAATAGCAGTAGAGAAGGAAATTAAAGATACAAGTCCAATCAAAGAAGCTATTTGAATGATAGGGGAAATCAATAAGAAATGATGCCAAAGAGATATAAAAAGACTGGGGTGGGTTGTTTTTGTTGTTTTTTTTTCCTAAATAGCATAATCAGGGCAATGAAGTATAAACCTAAGCAAGAATGTTTTATTTGGAAGTTTTCCTAGATTCATTCTGAAAATCAAAAGTCCCAAAAAGCAGTTAGAAAAGCTTAGAATCCCCAAAATGACTGTACAAGTGCTCTAAAGAATAATTTTATTCAGAACAATATAAACTGATATGAGAATAAGAGTTTCAGAGGAATAAGTCTGTCTTATTTAATTTTCTTTTTTTAAAGGGGATTTGTTCATTTCCTCTATTGATTTAGGGTAAAAAAGATTTGATTCACTCAGTGAATGAGACAAAGGGGTGATCTTTACCTTACCAGTGGTAATGTTTGCTTTTCTGTAATATTCAACTTCATTCAGACAGTGGATTTTCCTGGGCGAACATTTGCCAGTAAACACCTGCAACCTGCCAGCTGTAAGTCTAGAATGCTGATAGCCATTTTCAAAACTCACTCACTTAAAAGGCTTCAAAGAGCTAAATGCTTTCCAGTGCTGAAGACTAAGCATTTGTAGGAAGGATATAAATCTGTCTGCATCAACTAAATACTTATAATCCCATGGACTCGTGAGTTTTGTTGCACAAGTTCTGGGCTGTTTCCTAAAAGACAATCCCACAAAGACAGCCAAAATCACTTTAAAAAAAACACCTCTGATCAGAACCAAATGCTAATCTAGATGCAGCTTGAATTACAAGCTCTGATTTTATGCACTTTAATACAAATGTGATCCTGCATTCATACACAATCTGAAAAAAACAAACACTGGAGGAGACCCTATAAGGAACACATCAACAACTGCACAATCACAACCCCACTGCAATCCTATGAAATTACTAGTAAATAACACTTCTTTCAGGAAGGAAGCATAAATTTCTGAAAAAGAAAATGACTCCTGTTCCTTTCTCCTGTTTTCCTCAAGAAAACAGAATCAAATTTAATCTCTTGTTATATACAATCACTGATCTCTGTGACTAAATGGGCCAAGAAGCAACAGGATACGGCTCAAACATGCAAGAGTATTCTGGCTATTAGCTTTGGTAAAGCTAATAGCTACAAAAGATAAATATTTAACTTAAATTTTCCTTTAAACCCTAATGGTTTTAGTATTTTCCTTGAAAAATGCCATGCTTCTAGCAATTAGTGTTACATACTAGTAAAAAACTAGTAGCAGTTTTATACTGATTTCTCATTTATTCATTCTGTAGATAACAAACTTGTCCAAAGTAAGATGATGGTATGAGATTAAAAAAAAGTAATTATTATCTGAGCTGTAATAACTGATACAATTTTTCAGCTTTTCCTGATGATCATTAACAGTGACCTTGAAGAGCTGAGATGTGCATCATGTTTTCAGATGACACTCCATTTCACTGTTGAGATTCTTGAAGGCAGGGCTACCATATTCTGGAAGAAGGGCCTGAAGAAGACTTTATGATGTTCAGCAGGAAGAAACAGTAAATCCTGCCCCTGGCACAAGCTAAGTCCCATCAATAGCATAGGCTGGGCACTGACAGCCTGGCAGCATGTCTATGGAAAAGTGCTTGGGGCTGCTGGTGGATGGTGGATGCAAGCTGGGCATAAGCCAGCTGTATGTCCTGGCAGCAAAGAGGAAAACAGCATCCTGGGCTGCATGATCAGGAACAGAGGTTGGAGAATAAGCGAAGGATTTTTCCCAATAGTTCACACTCATTAGCCTATACCTGGAAACTGTTGGGTTTTGGTTCTTGCACTACAGGAAAAAGGACATAAGAAGCAAATTGAGAGGTATGCTGCTGGGATGGTTGGGGATGGAGCAGCGACCTACTGAGGAGAAAATGGGGTATCTTGGCAATTTCGGACAGGAGAAGGGGTTCCTCTGAAGACAACTAATAACAGACCCCTAGTGCTCATAGGAAGATCATCAAGGCAAAGCTGAGCTTTTAAGAGTCACATGTGTAACAGAATGAGTGACAACAGGAAGATGCTGAGACAAGAGAGGGGCAAACAGGTTATCAGGAGAACTATTTTCCTCAGGAGGACAGTTGAGCTGTGGAACAGATTTCCTAGAAAGGCTCTGCAACCCCCATCCTTGGAGACTTTTGAGATGCAATTGGATAAATCCCTGAGCAATCCTGGCCCTATACTGACCCTGAATTACCAAGGTGGTCTGTGATGCTCTCTAAGTGGTTTACTTTTGCTCCTTTCCCCTGCAGAGAGAAGCCGAGGCACTCACTGTGGTGGAATTCTCACTGCTGGCATTACCACCAGCAGAAGGAGACATTACCACAGGCATTAACCAGAACACAGTGAGGGAATATTCTAGCTGTAAGTCTTCAGAGAAGAGCTCTTTTCCTTTCATATATACCTAGAAAAACCATTAAGTATTTGGTTTAAACACTCATGCTTTCAGCAGTAATTTTCCGAACAGGTACCTCAGCATTATCATACAATGGAGCATTTTCCTGTGCAAGTGCTTAGGTTAGTAAGTCTTAGTGCATGCTTAGTGCCACAGAAACATAACTGCATAACATGCCCTTGTACAGGTTTTACAATAATCATGATGTATTATTTACATAATACATCTTCTGAAAAGCTTAACACACTGTGTGCAATCTGCATTTAATAACAGTAGGGTCATCAAGCTGCAAAATGCCCAGATGGCCTCTTCTTGTCTTACATTTCAATATTAGTTTTTATTTGCATCTACATTATTTTACATCTTAAATTTATATTAATTCGATTTTCACTTTCTTCAGGATCCGAAAGCATTTCCCACAAAATTATCAGAACACTGATATAAAAATTAAAAAAGCTCCCCAGCAGCTGCTGAGAATTCCAGAAGGATGACAAGTTCTTTAAAATTCTATAGAGAATGATGGAAAAAAACAAATATGAAGAAAGGATGCACTACTGAGAAGTAAAAAACAAAAAAGAGGAGCTGTTCAAATGTATAAACAATAAGAAATTAGTGAAGCATAGGAAGGACCGTATCGATGACAAGGGTAATATTGTGTTGAAACACTGCCAAAAGAAAATAATTAATTTTTTCTCTCACTATTCATAAAGGAACATGAAGTTAATGCCATGAACTGGCAGATAATTCACAAATTAGGACTGAAAAATACTGAAGGTACAGAAGTTACGAACAAATCAGGGTGTCTTGCTGGAGAGAATCAAGAAACATAGCTGCAATCTGCATGAATTTTAGAAATAGATTTTGATTGTGTAAAGCTATCTCCAAACACTTAATGATTAAGGTATACAAAGAGTAAGCTGACTAGTATTTTCTTATGCCACAATGAAAAGCTTGGTCTGGAAGTACATAACTAGAGGAGAACAGTATTTGGAATGATTTTTTTTTTCTCAATTTCCATGCAGTGATAAAAGGAGACAACACTTAGTAAAAAAACAGTCCAGACTGAACAGAAAGAAGAACAAAGACATCAAACATAATGCAAATGACCTTTGCTCATTTTGAGAATTATAAACTTGTCACAATGAAGAAACATCTATATCTGACTGCAGTGAATCACATCTGAAAAGAATTAATTTATTCACAGTGGTATATAAAATATTTCTATTTAAATTAATTCTGGTGGAATTACACAGGAGAGGGTGAATGTCGGGGGTTTGCATATATTTGATTCCTTTTTTTTAATATATATATATATATATGTATGTTTGTTAATGTGAATTGGAAGAAATTAAGAGTAACATAGCAAAAAATTGAAAAACTGCAGATAACACAAAAACTGCAAGGAATTTTCATCAGGGTAAAAAGCAACAATTGAACAGAAACAGATTTGCAACAAGTTGCAAAATAACTAAAGTGCAAATTCGGCAAATAAAAATACACATTTCTGCACCAAAATAAGCCAAAACTTCATTATCCAACAGCAATTTGAATTTCACTATGCTGAGATTGTGCGAAGAAAAAATGCCAAAGAAATTTTGAGTCCTAGTTTCATTTCACTCTGATTCTGCCCACACCTGTTGATCCTTAAGCTGTTTTATCTATCCATTTGTGTTAATTAAAAAAGACAAAGAGCTACCAACCCAGCAACCAAGTGCCTTTCCAGTTCTGTTTAGTAGTCTGTATAAATTAATGGTCATTTTCATATGTGACTGGAACACAGTGTCCCTAGCCAAATAAAGAAAACCTCAATTGGGTGCAGCTTCATAGGCAGCAAAAAAGGTCAAGGCAATTTTTTACTGCTTAAATATCACATCACAAAACAGTGTGCAGTACAAGCTTTTTTCATTGCACTTATTAAAAAAGTATTTCTCTACCTGCTGAAATCTATGCAAATTCACTGACATGAATACAACTTGACATAGATTAACTTGTGCTGATTTACCAGGGTCAGGATTTTCCCCTCAATGTTGAATTAAACAAACTCTGTGAGCGGGAAAGCATTATCAATAAGAAACAATGAACCAGCACGGCACATAGCAGGAATACACTTCCTCAAGGGAAAATTTGGAAAATGTTTGGGGTTTTTTTTAACATCTATATGGAACATATACATAACAGGTACAGGTACTGAAATGTAGGTTGTAGTCCACTGACAGTTGTTACATGGGAGTCACTGGCATGTTTTGAGATCTTTCAATTTGCTTACAACAAACAGTAGAATCAGAACTACCTTATCAAACAGTTTGTCTAAAATCTTTCAAGTTTTATGGTACATTTTGCCTTGTTGTTTATGTGCATAATACATTTTATCTCTTCTCCATAAAAGGTTTGTCAAAGTAATATAATACACTGCCTTCATAAAACGTTAGTTTTCCAGAGGAATGTTATTTTTTTTTTTTAACTTCAGTCTCAGAAATGTATTAAGAAAAAAGGGAAAAATGAGGATGATGGAAATATAATTACTATAACAGCTGCTTCGGTTACCTCCAGAAAGATGTATGGTGAATGAAAGTCCTTATATGAAACAAATAAATGGGATTTACATTTGTCATACTTACCATAAGGAGTCTATCTCCAACCTGCAATCTCCCATCTTTTTGTGCAGCTCCCCCATCGATAATCTTGGTGACATAAATGCTGTTGTCCCCAGGGATGTGTTGGTTCCCCACCCCTCCTGCAATACTGAATCCTAGACCTGGAAAATATTGTAAACAGAACATTAGCAATACAATATAAAACATGAAAGAGAAGAGGAAGAGTAGCATATACACTGTAAGCTTTGAGTGATTTTTACAGAAATACAAATAACATACTCTTTCACATTCCCTGAAAGGTCAGGGACAGGACTAAGGTAAGGAAATTATTTCCCATTTACAATTACAGAAAGGTTAAGAAAAAAAATAATTGAACCAGTGATGATTCTATTCACCCTTCTCATTGGGGCCCAGTGCAGCCTACATCAAGAAGTTATAGCTCAGCTTTCCATGACCAGCATTAAAACACTGAAACCTTGAGTTTATTTTGTTAAATATTGCTATAAAATACATCACCATCTATCAGAACAAAATGGAAGGTGTTCTGATTGTCCACACAATTTGAAAAATACTTGGAGAGGTCTAGCACACATTTTGCAAGTTCACGTAGTACCACAGTGATGGGTGAAAGTAAAAGAGAAAAGGTGTAGATGTTTGATTTAAAGTGTGGGTTTTTTCTACGACACAAATCTGTGGCTATGGATACATAAAGTAATAAAGCAATAATCCTTTGTAAATATGTAACTTCTATTCAGTGATCTGTGAAATTCCTAGATAAACACTCATAGATTCAAAATTTGGAACAATGTCAGTTATACATGCCAATATGATTCAAGAAAAGGAAGGTAAAATAAATAGATGTTGTGGGGAAGAAAAAAAGACATTTTTCTCCTTTTCCTGTATTTCATATCCTCTGACAGACTGCACATACAAGCAAATAACTGATTTAATTTTTAGGAACATTTTTATCTCTCAAAGAAAAGACAGAAATTACTGTACTTGATTTCCATAAAAATTAACTTCATACAGCTAATTTTTCAGAGAACTTCCATCTGAACAGAGAAGCTGTTTCTGACAATAATCTGCTTAGATAAATGCTCCAACTAGGGATTTCTCTTTTAGCTGTACAGAAAAACAGTTATATCTATTTAGAGAGTAATCACTGGTTTAATCTATGAAATCTATGCTGTTCACTCACTCCTAAAAGAAACATGTTGGTAATTGCTGTAGCCTGAGCAGTAAAATGCAGTAGTAAAAAGTGAGTTGCCTGAAACCTGGCATTTCATCACAAACTCAAAAGGGAGACTGCTTCGGCAATAAAAATTAAAGGACAGTGTATATTTAACACACAAAACATTTTTAGCAGCTATATGAGTACGGATATAAGGGGGATTTTGAGTGAATTAAATATTTTAATTTTTTCCCCCACATTATTTTCATTTGATCGTTATTTTAGCTTCACAAAGATGTGTGGTCAGATACCATAATGGACTACTTAATGGATAGTGACACACCAGTAAATTAAAAAAATAAACCTTTGAATTTGTATCTCAAATTGAAACACTATTTAGTTAATTGACTATTAACAACACACATGAAGCTAATTCAGAAGTATGGGGTAATTAAAATAAAGCTTTATTGAATTTCCAGCTAAAGCTGGCAATCACTCCTACTATTTAAGTGCTACTGTCTCTCCAAGATAAAAAGACAAAGATTTTTTCATCAGGGATGATTTTTTCCTTAGGACTGCTAACAAAGAAGAGAAAAGATATTCTAATAAAGCATTAATAATGGAAACTTTCTTTGAAAGAGTTATGGACAAGGAACAATGATTGAATAACATTTCTTAGTGACATAATTATAATCAATTTCATCTAAACCCCATCTGTATAGACTTCTACCAGTAAAGATCTGAGAGCGTTCCACAATGCTGGTAGGAGCAAATGAGTGTGCTAGACCTCAGCCAGAGGGCTTTCTTCAGCTCCACTGCTCACCTGGGGCATGACCTTGGGAAGATCAGGTTGTGCTGCATTTCGATCCCCTCCTCTCCCCTTTATTTACTCTGTATGCGTGTAAAGGGTGAGGTAATTTCTGCACAAACAACTGGCCTGCACTTCGCACAAAGCGGGTCCTAACTCAGCCTGGTCCTGGTGCAGTACAAGCAAGCAATTGCCAAGATAATCACCTGAAACTCCTGCAGTGCAGAGTGAGGTGCTTGGCTTGCTGTTTGCATGCTTGTAGCACAATGGATGCATGAAAGTGTAAAACAAGAGTACTAATACAGGCTACTCCCATTAGAAAAGTGAAACTTACAATAATGAAAGAAGCAACTTTTTCTTCTACAGTCTACATAATATTTATATGTGATACAATGTGTGAGGCCACATGATGGTTGTTATCAGGGTCTGACTTGGGCCACCCAAAAAGACAGCAGTGATTATAGGAAGGTTTAAAAGAGCAGAACAAGATGGGGTAATACTGTGGGGAGCAAAGGGAGAGTGGGTAGGAAATAAAACTGAGGAAGAGAAAAATTTTCCAGGTCAATCAATAATGACTTAATTTCAATGCTTAATCATACTTGCCTTCTTAAAAAGATTTCTGAGAAAGAACAGGGAATGGAACAATGGCCCATTTCATTTTATTTAAATTATTTCTGCTAATTGTTAAGGCACATGGAAAGTATACTACACAAAAACTTTTGGGTAGGATTCATATGACCAAAATGACATCAGACAACTATGCTAATCACTTATTCTACCTGTACGATAAATGAAAATTCATTAAGAGCTTTTAAAGTATGATTCATCTCATCTCAGAAAGACATCTGAAAGAGATGAAGTGAATCACACAACTGGTTTCTGAAAGGCTGGGGTCTGGATGTGGGAAGAGGTGAGTGGGAAGATCAGTGCTATGAAAGTTTACAATTGAGACTGAAGATTTCTGTTTTAAGACTTCAGAAAGGCTTGTTCAACCCTGGTGTGCATCCTTGATCACTTACTACATCAGGTTAGTGTTATATCAGATTCTTACTCTGTTTGAAAAGCAGAGAATCATTCAAACAAGTGGGAAGAATGGAACAAGGTATGTTTTCTAAATAGTATTTTTCATTGTTCCATCAAATTAACCCCCCCAAAATAAAAGAGCATATTTAATTTCAGAACCTTTTACTTGTTAACTCCTTTGGTTAGGAAGACATTTCCATCAGAACACAGAAGATCAGGAGTTGATCTCTTCCTCTTTGGCTGATGTGCAATCTGCTTCACAGAAAAAGCTGATCTAGGACAGAGTGCTCAAATTCCTCACAACAGGAATTAGATGGAGGATAAATTCAGAATGGAGCTGAGAAGGAAATGTTTGATGACAATGGTGGTGAGGCACTGACACAGGTTGCCCTGAAAAGTAGTGGATGCCTCACCCCTGGAAGTGTTCAAGGCCAGGCTGAATGGGGCCTTGAGCAATCTGGTCTAGTGAATGACAGGGTTGGTACCTTAAAGAGCCCTTCCAACCCAAGCCACTCCGTGTTTCTATGGTTCAGTGAAGAAGAGACTACTTCAAGAGGGAAAAAAGAGAGAACTGGATTTAATAATGGTGCACAGCCAAGTCAAACTCAGCTACGTCCAAAATCACTGAAGAACATTGGCCCATATAAGATTGACTCAATGTGTAAACTATGAAATTTGAGTCAAACCTCATTTCCTTCCATTTCCACTGGATATGTGTTTGTAAAACTCATCTGTATTTAGGTTCCACAAATGCTGATCACTGATCCTGTGAATAACAACACGTAATAATCCTATGAAACGAGACATTACTGGAATCAGAAAGAGGAAAAGGGACAGGGACAAAAGCTATTCCATTAAAACTGGAAACAACAGGAAAAAATGTTGCTATTAATAAGTCAAAGATATTTAGTCATACCTTTTCCTGGGATTATTAGCAAAACCACGTTAAAATACTTGACTATTTAAATCTATTTTTCATTACTTGCCACACCACATACATGCTTTAAACACACCACTGTATTAGTAAAACAATATGTTCTAACTACTTTTCTAGTAAAAGTAGGCTTGGAGACTTGGTATATAATTAATCCAGCAAAGTCGGAAAAATAAAAATAAATAATAAAAAAATTAAAAAAAAAAATCTCTGTGCAAGACACAGTGGGTGAAATACACTGCAGGCATAGAATTTTGCAGTAACCAGAGAGGGAGCCTAAAAGATCAACTGCAGCTACGTACTGTCAGCCTTCTAATGAAAAGTGAACTTAAAGAAACTCAGCCAGAACCCCAAAAATAGATATTGCATTTTACCATTATCCTATGCAGAGAATATCATATCAGAAATACAACAGAAATATAATATCAGCAAATGAAATGTGAATGGGGATACGAATGCAACCACTAGAAGAAAGGTTAGAGAAATCATGTGTATTGACAGTTCAAAGCATTTCAAGCAGTAAAAATCAAAATGAGTCATTTCTGTCAGGCCTGCACAGAATGCCTGGACACTGTAAGACCATTGCACAGGTGTCTTGTCAGCAGAAGACCCTGTACCCTGACAGTGGGATGTTGGCAGCAAGACTGCAGCATGTGACATCTGCCATTCTCTTGCCTGTAAGGCCAACAGAGAAGCAGATCACATCAATAAAAATGAGGAGCCACCTTGTCTAAGACTTAGAGACTGAAAAAAGGAGTATTCAATATAAAGGACCACCCATAAAAACAATATACAGGGTATATATTTCTCAAAAAAATGCCAGTCCATGGTTGCCAATCAAGAAAATGCCAAGAGATGTGGTAAGGGTTTGATGTCTCATGCCCTTGGTGTCACACACTGGTGAGCCAGATCACCTCAGCACATGCACCATAGGGGATGTGGACGAAACAGAGAGTGAATGAAATATATGAAAGGAAAATCATAAATGGTTAACTTATTCAGAGATTTAATGAATAAATGTTGCTACCCCTCCCTATACATTCTCTCATTGCTTTTTGACACATTTATTTTCTAAAGGTGTGAAACAAACTGATTTGCTCCAGAGCACCATGTGAATTCAAATTTTAAGAAACTGTTTCATGCAGCAAAACAGAAAGTACCACCAGAAAGGACCCCCAAAAAGTCACCACACTGAGGCCCTTCCCTGACGCTGCAAGCCTGGCTG